TGTCTCTTTTTGAGACAGGATCTCACTGAAACTCTGGCTTTGAATTTGCAGAGATCTGCCTTCCTCTGCCTCCTGAGTGCTGGGACTAAAGGCATGCACCACCATGCCCAGTATTTGTAATAAAATGGGAAACATAGAGGGAAGAGGACATACTAGAAATTATTAGAGAGAGAGTATGAGTGCTAGTTAGCCAAAGAACAATAGATTCAGAACTTAAGACCCACAAGATGAAGAGGAAAATAATTAATCTTTACCTGCAATTAATATCCAGCTAAACTATAACCAAAGAAAGAGGGAAATAAAGACGAAAGAGGGCCTGGAATCTGCCTTAGTGGCAGACTGTACCTGCCTCACATATTCAGGGCCTTGGATTTGATTCCTAGAATGGCAAAAAAATCGTAGAAATAAAATTAACATTTTACATCTCCTTAATATAAAACACAGCTTAAGGCTAAACTGCGTCAGCAAGGGCAAAGAGGAGCGTTACACCATTCCAGAAAGAAGGCTCTGGAGGGATAAGATCAGCTATGGGAGCTGGGTCTTTCTCTTGGAGTCTGTGGACCTGATTATGCATGCAAAAGAGCCCTGATTGAAGAGCCCTGTAAAATGGCACAAGCTCGCAATCTCCAGTGGAGACTGGAGATCACTGAGGCTCATTGGCTAGCCAGCCTAGGCTAAAAGGGTGAGCCTCAGGCGCCAGTGAGAGACCCTGCCTCAAAAAGCTAAGATGGAGGATTCCAGAGGAACAACGTTTAAGGTTGATCCCTGGCCCTGGCTTCCACGCACACACACACACTGAATGTGGACTCCTAAGGACGTTCTAACACAATGCAAACACAACACTGGTGGGATTGGAAACAGCGGCGACTCAAATTACAGTGAGAGGTTTAGAAAAAAATATACCCAACCTCCGGCAGTGGTGGCGCACTCCTGTAACCCCAGCCCTCAGGAGGCAGAGGCAGGCAAATCTCTGTGAGTTCGAGGCCAGGCTGGTCTACAGAGCGAAACCAGGACAGCTAAGCCTTCACAGAGAAACCCTACCTTGAAAAACAACAACAACAAAAACATACCTCACCAAAAGCTAAGAGGTCAAGCAGACAAAAAACTCAGCACAATGCAGAGAAATAGATTTCACAGCTATATGAAGAATATGCACACACACACACACACACACACACACACACGCACGCACGCACGCACGCACGCACACACACGCACACAATACTAGTTAACATCTGGGCGTGGTGATGTATGTCTGTAATTCCAGAACTTGGGGAGATGGAGACAGGAGGGTCAAAAGTTCAAGATCAGCCTGGCTGTAGTGGCTAGTTTTGATACTAACTTGACACAAGCTAGAGTCATTTGAGAAGAGGAAACCTCAATTGGTCTGTGGGAAAGCCCGAGGGGAATTTTTTTCGATTGATGATTGACATGGGAGGGCTCAGCCCACTGTGGGTAGCGCCACTGCTGTGTTGGTGGTCCAGGTTTCTATAAGAAAGCTCCTCACGCTGAGGGAGCCGTGAAGAGTAAGCCAGAAAGCAATGTTTCTCAATGGCCTCCGCTTCAGTTCCTGCCTCCAGACTCCAGCCCTGTTTGAATGCCTGCCCTGACTTCCTTCAGTGGCAGACTATGATGCGGAACTGTAAGCTGTAACCTAAACGATTTCTCTTCTCTCTCTGGAAAAGCATCTACCATTAGCTTACTCTGACTCCTTTCTCCCGATCATCAGGAGGCAGTTTCCAGCCTGCTGTCTTACCTGGAAATTCTCCAATCGCTCTCTCTCTCTTTTTCCAAAACAGGGTTTCTCTGTGTAGCCTTGGCTGTCCTGGACTCCTTCTGTAGACCAGGCTGGCCTCAAATTCACAGTGATCCACCTGCCTCCGCCTCCCTGAGTGCTGGGTTTACAGACCTGTGGCACTACACCTGGATTAATTCTAATTAATTCCAGTTTCTTACATGACATCTTTTTCTACAAGAATCTCAAATTTTGTTAGAATTTTGTTACATTTAAATTTCAGATCTTCCTTTCTTCTTTCCCTCCCTCCCTCCCTCCCTTCCTTCCTTTTCCTTCCTTCCTTCTTTCCTTCCTTCCTTCCTTCCTTCCTTCCTTCCTTCCTTCCTTCCTTCCTTCCTTCCTTTTTATGCTTGACCTCATAATGCTGTTCCAGTTAGTCTTGAAGTCTTGGACTTGAGTCTGGAAAGATGGCTCATTGCTTAAGAGTACGTACTGCTCTTGCATAGGTCCAGAGTTTGGTTCCCAGTACCCAAGCCAGGTGGCTCCCATGTAACTCCAGCTCCAGAGGATATGGTACCATCTTCTGGCCTCTATGGGCACCTATACCTACTCATACACATAATTAAAAATAAAATCTAGTTAAAAAAAAACAAAACAACAAAAAAAACCTTGGACTCAAAGTATCCTCCTGCCTCCAGAGTAGCTGGGGCTACAGGTGTGCCCATCTACACCCAGATTGATTTATTTAATTTGGATCAGGGTGTCACTATGTAGCCATGGTTGGCCTGGAACTGTCTATTTAGACCAGGCTGGCCTCAAACTCAGGGAGATCTGCCTTTCTTTGTCTCCTGAATGCTGGGATTAAAGGCATGCATGGCTACTCCTAAGATCAGTGTCCTTATTTTTAAAATCCATTCTTTAACTTTCTTATGCAGGCTCATGGGTGGCCTAGAATTCACTGGGTAGCAGCAGGCTGCCCTTGAATTCTCATGCTTTACCTGACCTGGTAGGATTACAGATGTGCACCATGACATTGGCTTTCATTTTCCTATATAATACATTTGATTTTACCTATAGGTAGAAAGTATTCATTATTTTGACTTTTGGAAGTTTTATGAGCTTTAGCAACTATGTCTATGTCTGTGTTTATGTACATATGAGTGCAGGTACCTATGGAAGCCAGAAGAGAGTGATTGCTTTTCTGAAGCTGGAGTTACAGGGGCTCTTGAGCTGCCTGACTTGGATGCTGGGAGCCAAACTACAGTCCTCTGCAACAGCAGAAACTATTCTTAACTGGTGGGCCATCTCTCCAGCTCTATCTATCTTGACTTTTACAAAGGTTTGATGACTCTTGCTTGTCAAGAAAACACATGGTTTTCTTCTCATCATCACAACGACAATGTTTATTTAGCTTGCTTGCGATTTTCACTGTTGCATCATTGTTTTGTGATTTGACCCAAAATGTCTTTATTTATTCATCCTCCTGCCTTTGTCTTAATTGGTTTTCTGATGGCCCGTCTCTTCTGATCTCATGCCGTTTGCTCTATTTTGTTTTCTTTAAAATATTTACAAGGGCTGGAGGGATGGCTCAATAGCTAGGAACACTGGCTGCTCTTTCAGAGAATCTGGGTTTAGTTCCCAGTATCCACCTGACAGCTCACAACTATCCATAACTCCAGTTTCAGGGGATCCAATGTCTTCTTTTGACCTCTATGAGTACCAGACATACATGTGGACACAGATGTACATGCAGGCAAAGCACTCATATAGGTAAAATAACATAACTTCCATCCCCCTCCCCCTTGAAACAAGGTCTCACTGTATAGCCCTTTGTAGACCAGGCTGGCCTTGAACTCACAGAGTTCCACCTACCTCTCTCTGACTCCCAAGCAGTGGGATTAAAGGGATGTAGCACCATGCCTAGCAACATAAACAAATCTTTAAAAAATTCAAAGAATAAAAGTAAAATCAAAATAAATCTTAAAAAAAAACAAAAAACAAAATGGGAGGTAGTGGTGGAGACGTGGCTCAGTGGATGAGAGCTCTTGCTGTTCTTGGAGAAGACTTGAGTTTTGTTCCGGTGGTCAAGTCAGGCAGCTTCCAGCTGCCTCTAACTCCACGTCCAGGGGATTGGATGCCCTCTTTTGGCCTCCATGGGCACCTGTGCATAACACACACACACACACACACACACACACACACACACACACACACGTTTTCTGTGATTCGCAGTGTTTCTGATGCTGGTGATTCACAAGTGATTTCTATGTGAGCAGTCAGACCTTGTCTTTAAGTGAGACAGGGTAGGTGTACAGAAGACAATTCTACTCCACCTGGGATAACCAAGAAATTTCAGAGTTGAAATGGTCAACCTGAAGATGCTAGAGCTGGGCAGAATCATGGCCAGGCCACACCTGGTCACATTATATTCGGATTTAAGAGTCTGTACATGCGTGATCATTCTTTTGGTAGGGTGAAACAAAGGTATGCGACTGAGGTTAAGGTTTCCTTTTCTGAGAAAGCTGACGACTAAATCAGGTTTCAATTGCCAAGCTCTTAAGGCTACCTAAATGATCACTAATAAACAAGGAACAACTTATGAGGTCAGTTAAGCTAACTAGGCTCTGGGGATTGGTGAACATACAAAGAATAATTTGCTTGATGAAGAAACATTTCAGTTGAGTGTGAGGTTCATTGCTGCATTTGATTTCAAGATTGAGAGTGATCAGTGCTTTGGAGGCACTGATCAGCTGGGTTTCATAGAGGAAAGTAACACCAACTGTTTAATGCAAATCAAGCATCCTTGAAGTGCCTAATTCCAACCAATTATGTCCACCTATCCTTGGAGCTTCCACCCACTCCCCACGGGGTATATAGCCTTTGTTCTTTGGAAGTAAAGTTGAACTAGCTCCCCGAAGTGGTTCCCTGGGTTTGTGATCCCTGTGCAACGCTTGCTGGCCATTCCAGGCCGCTTCTCATCTCATGCCCGTCCTGACTTTGTGGGCTGCTGGGGAGACAGCCCCCAGGCAGGAGGAGAACTGACAAGAGCCCTAAAGGATGGAGCCTGTTGACATTCTCTGCATAAGGCAGTGGATGAAGATATAGAGAAGAAGGGATCACATGAAGATTCTTTCATTTTTAAAAATCGTAGTAATTTTTTTCAGGAAAGACAAAATTAGGAACAGGAAAACAAACTGAAATGTCAAAGATTATGGACATTTTCCAAAGATCTAAACATTGGACTGAATCTTCTTTCATCTTTATTTCATATGGTGCATCCAAGAACATCCACGAATGCACCTATTCTCAAGCTCAGGTTCAGGTTCAGGCTCAGGTTCAGTTTTTCTGTTTAAGGAGAAAAATCAGATTCATGTTTTAGCTTACAGAAAGTCTCCCTGGATTAGTGTAAGTCATTTCTCTCTTGGGACAATTCTAGAGTACTGATCCCTCTGTTCCATTTATCTGTTTCATTCACCCAAAAGATAACCACTACCCTTGTACTGAAAACATTCATTACATTAAGAATGATCAAAACCAGAATTGGTGCTTTTGTGTTAATCCATAAGTTACCCTGTGTCTCACTTTTATGAAAATCAGTCTTAGCACTGCCTGCTTAGGATCCATGGACCTTCTAGTTCCGACAACTTAGAAACCATCAGTTGTGGATAGGGACTTCAGCTGTACAAAATAGCATGTCTCTATGGAGATTTAGAAGGCCTGAAAATGTAAGGATTTGATTTGGGGATCTTGGAGCATATAAACAGGGCAAGAGCCTTGTGTTGGTCAGATCTGATTAAAAAAATAAACAAAACAAAGCAAAATCAACTTGCTATAATTGATTTTTTTTTTTTTTTTTTTTTTTTTGAGGCAGAGCTTCTCTGTGTGTGGTCCTTATTATCCTGGAACTCACTCTGTAGACCAGGCCGACCTTGAACTCACAGAGATCTGCCTGCCTCTGCCTCCCAAGTGCTGGGATTAAAGGTGTGGGCCACCACCACCAGGCTTCAAGTGTATGCTTCTAATAGACTTGTGTTTTTTTTTTTTTTCCCATCATTTAGGTGAAAATAATAATATAAATCCAGTGTACAGCTATTTTAGTTTTATCTTATTTTTCACATCTTTTAGTAATTTGATCTTTGACAATTTCATACATATACACATATAATGCAGTTTGACTATTTTCACCCCACCTACACTGAACTCTTTTCCACACCCAGAAAAGTCACTCTTTAAAGAGGATTCATGTCATTTGTTTTGTGGCCCATTGATTTTCATTAGAACTCTGCAGGTGACCATGGGTGTGGCACCTGACGGACTCCCTAGCGGGTATACAACTGAAGACAGACTGTCCTTCGCCTGTATCCATTCACAGCCAGTCACTCTCCAGGAAGGGGATCCCTGAACCCCTCTTTTGTTTATGAGTGACTGCCTTTAAGCTTAGGTGTGTGAAGGTATAGTGTATGCAGCTACAGATTCTATGAGTTCATAATTGTAGGGTCTATGCCATGCCCAGAAGATAGTATTTTGCAACTCTGCCCCTCATCATTCAGGCTTTCACACCTCTTGGAGGTGACGGTAGGAATGAAATGGTAGGCCTGAGCTCTGAGCGGAGTCTTGATCTCTTAGCACCATGAGCAGCCATGAGTCTCTTCTTTCACTGCCAAAAGAAGCTTCTCTGATCAAGGTTGAGAAGAGTCATTGTCTTTGGGACTGTGGGAGGCAAAGCCTGGTCTCTTAGGAAACTATGTACCCATTGGAGCTGAAGCCTGGACCCTGCACTGACCTTTGCAGCTATCTAGGTGCCATGGCTGGCATGGAGGTGCTTGTTGGGCCTGGAGTGCTGCTTGTGGTGTCTTCTTCGCGCTCTCAATGGTTTCATGGTTGGCTTTTTTGGTGTCACGTTTGTTACCAGCAAGCCTGGGACAGACGGCGGTAGGATTGTAGTAAGATCTTGGGGAGACTTGGTGTAGCTATTTTAATGCAAAATTGTATCATTATATGGTAATTGCTCAACAGAATATCTGTGACAAATAATTGTTCAGTAAACAGTTTTACTATTCTCTCCCTGGATGCCTGATTTTTTTCTAATTGCAAAGTCAACAATTTGTTGTTGTTCTGTTTTGTTTGTTTTTCAAAAAGGGTTTTTCTGTGTAGCCTTGGTTGTCTTGGAACTGGTTCTTTAGACCAGGCTCGCCTCAAATTCAGAGATCTAGCTGCCTCTGCCCCTAAGTGGTGGGATGAAAGGCACAAGACACCACCCCTTGGCCAAACTCAATGATTTATTCTGCGATCCAGCCTAACTGTTAGAACCTTTTATTAGAACAGCCCTCCCTCTTGACATTCTAAAACAGGGTTAAGCCCTTGGCTAATTTTCTCTATCCTTGCATCCCAGAGCTTTTCCTGCCATTTTCCTGAAAGACTGAAAAGATGAGCTTGGATCACTTACCGCACTGTTCGGTAATTTTCATTACATTGTATGTCACATTCTATTTTAAGCTGGAAGTTATTAAGGTTACCATTGCAGCCAGAGTAGATAAAACTCTCACATAGTTTGGAACTTCGGTTGTAGAAAAATCTAAAATGTATTTCATAGCAGCTGCCGGGATCTTGTTCCAGACCACAAGGATCTGCATGAGAAGTTTTCACGGAATTAGAGGAAAATGGTTAAGACTCAACAGGAATTTTGTTTTCTAACCAGAGGCCTTTAGAAAATTCTGCTTGGGATGGTGAGATGGCTTAGGGGGTTAAGGTACTGACAGCAAGAGGAGTGTCTTTGGAGCCTGTACGGTGGGAAAAGAGCAGCAGCTTCCTCTAGCTGTCCTCTGACCTCCACATGAATACCATGGTTCACAAGTATGCATGCATGAGTAAGTGCACATGGACACACAGGCACATAAGTAATGCAAAAACTAAAAACTAAAGATTCCTTTCTTTAGCTTGGGAACACTTTTGTTTAGGGATCCCAAAAGTTTTCTGCTTTTTCTGTTCTGGGCAGAGCCACATGGTGAAGCTGTCTTTGTCCAGCACAAACAGCTTCCATCTCCAGGTTGTGGTCCTAGGCAACGATTTTTGGGAAGGAGCGGGTTGTGACTGGCTTGGCTTGTGCAAAGTGACAAGGCTCCTTACACTGAGACCTTTCAGGGTACCCTGTATTCTGTTTCTCCACGCCCTTTTTGCCCATCCTTTCAACTTCCTGCTGAACAGACCCCTCTTTCCCCCCACCTCTCTTTCTACATGATACAACCTATATTTCAGAATTCAGGCAACTGTTTGCTGTTGTTCTGAAAGCTGGATGCAGAACCAGGGACATGATACCCTTTTCACCCTCGTGTCTTGTTGTACTTCACTCCTTCTCTTGCCTTCCAGGAAGTGGCTGCCTCATTTTTATTGGCTGAGCAGTGGGTATGACTGAATGAGCCACACCACTGATCATATTCATAGACCAGTTCTTACCGCCCACCTACCTCAAGCTGCCAGTCTGTAATTTATTCTCTTGTGAGGCCTGCTTGTCTAGGCCTGATTACGTGCAGTTTTCTTTTATACTAACAATACCCTCTGATTTTCTAACTTTTGTTTCACACATGGGCGAAGGGGGGGGGGAGCTGTGAGGAGGAGGTGATAATTGGCTCAGAGTCCTGCCCAAAGGCACACATCTGCTGAGTGACAGGCCAGAGTTTGGAATGTGATCCTAAGTATACTGTACCACTTAAGCTCAAGAACAAAGTCTCATTACGGGTCATAGCCACACCGTAAACTCTTCTCTATAGGTGCTGTGTGCTCAAGCATTTTCTGAGCTCAGATCCTAGATGTTGGATACACCTCAGTTATCTCAGTTTGCAAATCCTCCCTCCCCCCCCCCCGTTTCAATGCATGCTCTTGGAAGGTCTGATCTCTTTGCCCTGTGTCACAAAGCCCCTATCAAAATGCTTCCTGTCTTTGACTTCCTACAAAAGAGTTCTCTATCTAGAAAGGACTTTATTTGGCTGTGTATTGTTTTATCCTCATTGAACCCACAAGTCCCACAAAGTAAGTGGTGCCTGAGTTAAGGGGGCTGAAGGGTAGAGGGTACTGCCACAACAGAAGATTCTTCCGAGCCACCCAGAGGGATTGTTTACATTTCTCTCTCCCTTGCTCATAACTGGCCTCAGAATTTCCCTTCTGTTTTAACTTCCTCCATACCTTTAAGGTCTCTGCACATAGATTCACTGAGCCTGGCAACACCACTCAGTACCGGTGCAGTGGACAAGCAGAAGGTGAAGAACCTGAGGAGAAACCCCAGCTTAGCAGGCATCATGGTGGAGCAAGGAGCAGATGGGAGCAGATGTTGTCAACTGCTTTTATACATTGGGCTTTGTTTGGTGGGAGGGCTGAGCCCACCCACCCCAAGGGCCAGAGTTGGGCATTACTATGTGTTGGATTGAACGTTGAGTGCTTGAGTGCCCAGCCATGAAGTTAAAGGTTCCAAACTGATTAGACCCCTGATAGTGAGCTCCATATTCATGTAGAAGCAATACGAGCTTAGGGACTCGAGTGTCTGCACATGCTTAACTGTGGATGTTTGGACCATCAGAGCAAGGAATTTCAAGAGAGTTGCTTCCTTCCCATATTCTGAGTTTCTAAAGCAGAGAAAAACTGGCTTGGTTTGTTAGAAAGAATGAAGTTAAGTGTGAGAGTAACAGTAACGAGGATGACAGCTAAAATGTTTCTTTCAGGCCGGTCTACACTAAGATGTATGGACTAAGCCATTAAACTATTACACAGAATCTCCGAAGGAGGGATATTCATCATTATCACTGACAGACGCTCAACAGAGCTTAAGTTATATAGAAGAGCTCTTATCTATTTTGTAGTGGACACTTGATTATGAAGGGGCTTCGATGCTTAGGAGAGTTTTGTTGTTATTTTGTTATTGTTGTTATTTTGCTGTTTGAGTTTTGGAGACAAGATCTGGCTGTTTAACCCTGATTTGTCCAGGAACTTCTTATGTAGCCCATGCTGGCCTTGAACTTCTGATCTTCCTACCTGACCCTCCCAAGTACTGGGATTACAGGCCCGTGCTTTCCCACTCCGCTAAGAGTGTGTTTGTTTTTAGCACACAACCACACTACTCAGGAACATGAAGCCACCTTGAGCCTGGCTTGTTTTCATAAATTAAGTGACTCCCACTTACAGCTTGGAATCACTTGATATTGATTTCTTTTAGTGAACTATTAAGTGGTTCTAATGGTTTCAGGTTTCTCTCTTATTCAGTCATTACATTTTACTCAGCCGCCACCAGTAGCTACAGCCATAGAATAATTTTGCTAATATATGTTGACTTGTGTGTTTTATTAAACTATATATCCCTGATTCAAAAACTATATTTAATTTATTGAACCTTATTTAGGAGTTTTAGTTTTTCCACATAAAATTCAGAATTAGCTTGATACATTAGCTTGATAGGGTAGGAAACCTACCCTACATTGCTTTGAGTTGCACTGAATCTACAGACCAATTTTCTGTTTATTTTGATCTTCAGCAATCTTTTCTGGAGATGTTTCTGGGGCTGGAGAGATGTCTCAGTGGTTAAGAGCACTTGCTGCTCTTCTATTTCAGTTCCCAGGAGCTACAAGGAGTGGCTTACAACCATCTGTAACTGTAGTTCCGTGGGCATCCTATGTTCTCTTATGGCCCAAGAGTGCACCTTCCCTGCTTCACCATATACACAAATTAGCAGAGACCTACAACTGGCCAAAGTTCAGAGACTAAGAGGCTGCAGAAGACCCATTCTTAAATGAACATAGGTACCACATTTCCTCCTTCGGAGGCCCAGGGATCTTTGTGTAAGATGGAGCAGATGGAATGTAAGGACTAGCGTGATGACTCCAGGGAAGCTGTCTTCTGGACACAGCGGGGCAGCTGCCTGTACGAGCCCGCACTGGTGTGTGCACAAGATGTGTAGAAGCCGAAACCAGACACGGAGAGGGGGGTTGTAGACGGAGTCCCATTCCTAGCCCTGGAGATATTGGTAATTGTTAGTTCTGGAGGAGGAAGAGTCAGTTTTCTCGAACAGTGTAGTCTCATGATATAGTAGAAGGCCATTTAAAAATATTTAGTTGCACGAATTGGCCTAGAAGGGGACACAAAGTTGTGTGAGAAGGGTTGAATTCGGGACAAATTGGCTGAAGGAGAGTGGATATGATCAGGACATGTCTGAAATTCTCAAGTAAATGATAAACAATAAACTCTCCATAAAAATAATAAAAACAAATCTCAAGGAAGAGAAAGATTTCTGATATTTTCCTCATGCAGGCTTGATAACATTATCCATGTCTTAATATTATTATAAGTGGTATCCTTCTGGGTTTTGGCATAAAAATACTATGTATGTTTTCATTAATCTTATTTAAAGTCACCTCCTTAGATTTGCTTGGCATGCCTAATTGTATTTGATTCATTTTCCATTTCATATAGACAACCATTATCTGTAACTAATGAGTTTTGTGCCTTCTTTCCCAATTATTGTTTTAAATTTTACCTTTTTCATTTCAAAAATTATATGTGTATAAGGTTTTGCCTGCATGTATGTATGTCTGGTCACCAAATGTGGTGCTCATGGAGGCCAGAGGTGCGCATCAGATCCTCTGAGACTGGTTGTGATCTACCATGTGTGCTGGGAATTGAACCTGAGTCCTTTGCAAGAACATGTATGCTCTACATGTATGACAACCATCCCTCTAGTCCCCTGGAATTTTAATTCCTAATTTATTGCTTTTGGCAGGATCTCAAGTTAGTTATGAAACAGAAACAGGATAGTAGTTCTCCTAACTTGCTTGCAGATTATTAAAGGAAGCCTTCTAATAGCTTCACCTTTTTGAATAATATAAACCAACATGCATATAATCCCAACACTTGAGAGGTGGAAGGCAGATAAAGAAGCCGGTATGACTAGCCTTGTTTACATAATGCACTCAAGGCCAGCCTGGGCTACACGAGACCCTATCTTAAAAAAAGAAGACATTACGGTAGTGTTTCTTTTTGTTAGGTATATTCGGCATATGCCTCTTCACAGCAATAAAACCATAACTGGGACAGCATCTTTTTTTTTTCCCCCTCTACCATTGAGCCAATGCCCCAAGTCCTGGTCTCCACTTCCTGTTGTGTGTTCATGTCCATCTGCCTCTCAGCAGAGAGCACTCACTTGAATATTATTCCTTATCTTCTTGCTCTAGCCTCTACCTCTTTGTTCTTTGTTCATTGTTTTTAGTATAATCCTAAGCACTACTTGTTTATCACAATTTTCTGAAACTGAAGCCCTGTTTATTGGGAGCATTTTTTTTTTTCTGCTTGGAAATGCAGTTGGTAAACACTTTGGGTCCATTATTCTTTTGTAATACTAAAGTTCATCTCTCTGTCTCTCTCCTCCTCTCATAAAGCCTTATTAAATCCTACCACCATACACATCTACATTCTTCCAATTGTCTTCAAATGTTTAGGTTGTTCTTTGTATTCCTTAGATTTCTGACTTGCTCTTGCTTCTTGCTTTGTTTGGTCAAGCTTGAAATGCATGATATTGTATCTACTCCCTTGACTTCCACATTTCACCCCCAAGAAGGTGTGCCTTGAGAGAACACTGGTCAAACAAAAATGAGAGATGCAGAGATCAAAAGAAGACAAAAGGCCTGGAGATGAAGCTCAGTAGTAGAACAGTTGTTTAGCATGTATGAGAGCCTGGATTTGATCCCCTGAAAGAAAACCAGAACAAATCCTTAGCTTGCTTCCAAGCTCAGCTAGAGCCAGTCTTCATTAGTTCACCTTCTGCTGTCTTGCTGATGTTTAAGAAGCAAATAATTACTGTTTGCTATTTAGACTTTGTTGTATAGAGACTAGAATACCCATACAATACATTCTAATTGGTGCTGTGGGCTGTGTAGCCCAGTGGTTCAGCACTTGCCCAACAAGTGTGAGTTAAGTCCCAACTATTAAAAAGGAGTCTATTTAAAAATCATCTTAAAAATAATCTACATGTGCAATAATTAGAGACAAGAAAGAGTCAGGTAAGTATTATCACACATATGAGGGTGAGTTGAATGACATATTTCTAAATGTGCGTGACACATTTCTAATTCGTCCAACAATGAAGAGAATATTATGGTCTTACCAGAAAGTTGTGGGTTTCTGTGATACTGCACCAGACTGAGTGCCCTAGGAAGTCCATTGTTCTAGGTCTAAATTCTTGTCTAAAACCGACCCCTACAGCCAGCAGGCCAGTCCCTTTTCTTTATTCCATCTGTCTGTTGAAATTAGTCATCACGGTATCGAGTCAAGGCGCAGTGTGTAACACTTGCTAAAGGCATCAGCTCTGGGTCTGGACAGAAGGTAAGACAGAAGGAGGCTGAGAATCCTGGCTTGATGAATCTTTGGAAGGAAATCTGATCTATTCCTTTTCAGGGACTGTCTATACCAACCCATCTCCATCAGAGGGGACATTCCCCACTTGGGCTACTGAATTCCTGATACTACAAAGCACCCTGCAGTGAATTGCTTGTGTGACAGTTGCTGGCTGCACACTTAAAGCATCTAGAGCTGGCAGTCTTCTTGTTGAGATCCTGCGTTGTGGGAAGTTTTGGTTTCTTTAATAACTCAGTTATGTTATGTAAACAAGTTTTTGTGTTAATCCCAAGTGTGGGATATGAAAATTGCGTTTAGCTTGTCCACAGCTGGTAATTGCCTAGTGTGGCTCAGAGAAAAACATGGTCTTTGCCAGCTGGTAACACCCTCATGTGGCTTGGAGGGAGGTTAGATTAAGGGATCTCTTTTTCTCTTTCTTTTTCTTTTCTCTATCCTTCTTTCTTTTCTGTCTAGTGTTAGGGGAGAGAGACAGTAGGTGGGAGAAGGAATAAAAAGAAAAAAGGGAGATATAAGAATAATAGGATAATTATAAAATGCAAGTTAATAGTTAATCAAATTTATGTTCATGTTAGAAACTAGTTTAGTTAATGACAGAAATATGTTTCCTGTGTTGATCAGATAGTAAATAGCTAGAAAAAGGCAACGTTTGCCTATTCAGATATATTGTAGATGGATGGTCTTCAAAAACCTCAGAGATCTGCAGAATATGGCAGTTAAAGATGATTTATTACTAAAAGGCCTTTTTGACAGTGAGGGATAGCAGCACTCCCATTATACTTCAAAGAAAATGATAGACACTGAAGAACCTCCATATCGAGTTTGCTTCAAATGTGGCAAGTTTAGGCACTGGGCAAGAAATGGCCCTTGCCTCAATTGCTGACAGAATGTTGTCTAAACTGGACA